TGTGGGCAGAGTGTAATGAGAAAAGGGGATAGTGATAGGAGATGAAGTCAAGGGGTAGGTAAGGTTCAAATCATATAAGACCATGTAGGCCATAGTTTGGATTTTACTTTGGGAAGCCTAAAGGGTTGAGCAGGAGGGTAACATAATCTGGTTTGCATTTTTAAAAAATCACTGTGGCTTCAGGGTGGAGAAGATGCTAAGAGTGAGAGCACGAACACCTCTCACTCAGGAGGCAACTGGAAAAATTCAGGTGAAAGATCATGATGACTTAAATTCTACTGATAGCCAGGGGCCTAAAGATAAGTGGATAGATTTGAAATTTATTGTGAAGATAGAGCCAAAAGAACTTCCTAATGGATTGCACATGGAATGTACAGGGAGTAGAGGAATTAAACATGACCTTAGGCTTTTGGCTTATGAATGGCAGTGACTTTTAGTGAAATTGAGAAGGTGTGCAGAGGAAGTGGGGCTGAGGGGAGAGATAAACAAGAATTCTAATTTGACCATGTTAAGTTTGAGATATCTGTTGGACATCCAAGTAGAGATATCAAGTAGACAGTTACATATACAAATCTGGAGCTCAATGGAGACATTAGACTAAGAATATAGATTTGTGAATGATTAGCATATAGATGTAGTTAAAGCCATGGGCCTGGATAAGATCAATAGGGAGAAAGTGTTGATAGAATAGGACAGAGACTGAAGACCAGGTACTGGGGCACTTGAAAGATGGACAACATTTTGATAGGCAGAGATGAGAAGGACATGTAACAGGAAAGAATAAAGTAAACAAAAGCTCAGAGAAACGAAAGTGTTTAGCAGAAGTGAGGAAGCATGGGTAAGCCATTTAGGGAGAGCCTATAATAGATATCAAGTCCTAGATTTGGTCCACTGACTTCACTAAATAATTTTGGAAGGTTTTTAATTTGTGAATCAGTTCTGCTCCTGATAATATCCAAGTGGCTCTTTTGTGACCATATCTCTCGATATAACAACTATAGACCCTGGACAAGATCTTTTTTTAATTCTATCTTAAAACAGTGGACAAAAAACGAAAGCACACAAATACTGGAAGGGGTCAACATATGAAAGACAGTATCAGCTCTTTGTGAGTTTCCCATATTTATTTTACAGCTTTTGCCTGAAGGCAAATCCCAAGCAGAGCAGTTAAACCCTCAGTCTTATTAACTTGAAGAACCAGAGGACAGAGTTTAGAGTGAGGTGGGGAGATGGAAATCTCTGAATGGAGACAAACAGAAAGGGAGTACTTTACGTTCCGTATTTAAACTTTGCCTAAATCATGGCTGATCTTAAAAGTACACATGTTCAGGGCAGACTCCAAGAAGACTAAGCAAGATTAAAAAAAAATCTGAACCAAAATTTCAGCTGCTGCCCACCGTAGGGGAGACAGTCTGGAATTTGAGCTCCTGCAAGTTAACTGCCTGCAAAAACAAACAAAGTTCCTTTGGAGGAACGGAACAGAGTCCAGAATCTCCAAAACGTGTCATTTACAATATCCAGAATACAATCCAAAATTATTAGTCATATAAAGAAATAAGAAAACATGACCCTTACTCAAGAGAAAAAAGCAATCAATGGAGAGAACCAATGAGAACGACCCAGATGTTGAAATAACAGACATAGGAAAATATGCTTGTAATGAATAAAGCTGAGGAGTGAACTCATCACTCTGAATCTTGGGAGAATGAATCTTAAATCAGTGAATAATATTAACTTGAGGCCTCAGTCCAGGCTGCGGCCCCTGCGGGTTACATCACCGGTTGCGGGCTCCACACGGCCCCACTTCCGGCTCCCGGCGACCCCAGGAGCCCTGAGCC